ATATAAAAATGTGAAAGATATATATATATATATATATATATATATACATAAATAAATATAGTATTGTGTTATATCACATGAATATTTGCGCTTGTAAGATTATAATATTGACTTCTATTTATATTTTTTAAAATTCATGCAAAATCAAATTATAAAATTGAATTATAGAATTAAATTTGTAGGCAAAAACAAGAACTACGACTGTTTCGCTCTCTCCTCTTCAGAGTCTATTATTGTTATCGTATAATACACTGATGTGACTTTCACTTCGCTATTAAGAAATAATTAGATGAGTAACGGGAGAAAATTCTCGCAACGAAGATATTTCTTTCACAATATAAGAATTTATAATAATTATTATTTACATGTATTTAATATTAAATAAATTGATTCTGATAGTAGACGATGAAAATTCATACAACATCCGAGGAATCCGACGTATCTTTTGCGAGTTTTTCAAATTGCAAAATAATTCACAATATGCATAAAAGTATCGGAACAATTTAACGCAATGTCTATTTAAGTATTTTTAGATAAATGTTTTATTCGTGTCTTTCATAACATTTGTTTCGCTACTCAAAAAGACGCATTACAAGCTACGTGGCATGTAAAATAATTAAAATATTGCTTTTTCTGCCACGATTTATACTTTGATGTTTTCTTATACTATCGTAAGACGTGAGTATCGATTAGATAACGATGTTCAGGACAGACAACTGAGAGACATGCGGCTATCGTCGACGAATGGCTGTCAGAAAAAGTTTGCTCGAATTCTGGAAGACTCGAGCGAAAAATTGTCTTCTCAGGTAAAACGCACAATTGATATAACGTACGATTAAGATATTTTTTTACAAAAAAAATCTTTTTTAGTCGCGTGAAGCCATCCCTCTCTGCGCACGACACACAAAGTTACGCACACATGTAAGTGCACGCAATTAATATTTATGTTGAGTAAAAAAAGAGAAGTTATACACTACAGCAAGAAAAGATCCCAATCGATTACGCATTAGAAAAAAACACCGCCGTGGACGACGTTAGTTTAATTTAAATTCCGGCGGTTATTAAAAAGGAATTGTTATTCAATTAATATCAAATAAGAGGAAGTGTCAGTTCCCCCTCCGAAAATACGCTTTTTTCGCCCGATTTTCTCTCTGAAAGAGAGAAAATCTAGATAACTAGAACGAAGGCTACGACACGACGAGTGAACACCACGTTCTCCTTGACGATCCGATGGCGATCCGCTAGTCACGCTCGTGATCTTCTCGTGATCGAAGCGGCCGATTTCACCGGCGTGCGAGAAGCTGGGTGATTCGCGCGTATTTCTTCTCTAGAAAAAAAAAATCTTGTCTCTCTTACCGAGTCGTTTTGACACAACTGCAGCAAAATACGGTAATCTTCCACGCTTATGTTAACGCGAGAGTTATTGTTTGCGATATTAATACGAGATTCAGACAGACCTCACTAGCAAATCCCCAGCTAATCGCTTAAGTGTCACGATGGGCAATGGAAACTCCAATAATGTGCAACGAAACTTGATGTAAGTGTCTTTGTGTTTGTACTTATCTTGCAGCAAACTTATTTTCCTTTGATGATAAATAGAATTTTTAAATGTGTGAATTATTAGAGATAGCATCTAAAAGCACTTTGGTGCGAAATGTTGTAACAGTACATAAAACGTAATTAACATTTTAATTTTTATTGAGTTAAGTTTTAAGTCATAAATGTATACAGGGCATTTTATTTTAAACATAGTAGGCTGAATATGTTGGAAAATATAAAAGATGTTTCAGATGAAAGTTGTACAGTTTGAAAGGACGCAAATATTGATAAAGTTAATTTTTGAAAAAAATCAATTTTTCAAGGAGATCAATTTTTATATGGAGATCCGTCATTTTTAAAAATGGAATTGTATGATTTTTTTTACATAATATGATTTCTGTAATTATTCCGAATATAAACATATTTTTTTTAAATGGCAAAAATCTTTATATGATCTTGAAAAATTTTTGATTTTTTCGACAAATAATTTCACCACCATTTGCGTCCCTTCAGACTGTATAATTTATTTCATCTGAAACATTTTTCTGTACCTTTCATATTTTTCAAGATATTCGACTCATTATGTTTAAAATAAAACATCTTGTATTAGGTGTTGGAATTAATTCGTAGCGTTTTTTAATGAAAGAATGTTATTTATTTCACATGAGCATTAAAAAATACATTAATGAAAGTACTTCCCATCACTTGTAAAACGCTACGAATTAATTCCAACACCTAATATAATACTTATTCCTAAATAGATAACAAATACTTATTTTTTCTAAATATCTCTTGATCAAACTTATTGCTAATTACTTTTTAAATGACTCAAAGAATTGCATCAAGGATATCTTTAGAAAAAAATTATACTTATATCGGAAATTATATTTATGTGACTTAAGAATTAACTTAATAATTGCATATTGCCCCATACATTGATAAAAAAATATTCCATTTTTTAATTTTTCTTCATTACAATATTTGACATATTTCATTATAATTTAACACTCGCACAACACATATTGTGTCGTAGATAATGTCTGAATTTCATATTGGCTAAAGATATCGCGTGAATCGTGTGACCATATCAGGCTATCGGTTGAAAGAGTAAAGGCTAACGCGACAATTAGCATCGTTATCTTTCATCAATATTACATCATCTATTATCCATGTTAATAATGCAAAGATAAGCAATTTACAGAAATTTGTAGTCTTCTATTTTCGCGATCCAATTCCGGAGAGGGGAAGTAAAATTCCATCAAATGCGATTTGCATACGCACATGTACGTGAGATACGTCTTTCTCCGCTGACTGATAAGGCAGTCGCGTCATGAAACGTTTAGTTCAGTTTAGTCTATATAAAACATGTCTACGAAGCAGCTCCTCAAACCGCTCAGCTGTCACTTGACGAGTTTTCTCCGTCAATCGAGCAACGATAGCTTGCGTTACGTTATCTCCGATCTTGAACCTGAAATCTGCCATCAGCATCACCTGTCCAAGAGCAGGTAAAGTCGACGAATCACGTCGATTTCTGTTGAATTTACTTAACACGCAAGAATCCTTGCGTCACCTTCGTTTCGCTGAATTTCGTTTTTACTTTACTTCAGGAAAGACACCGCGATGTTTTTTCTTATTACATAAGTCGAACAAGCTACGATATTTTTTTTAACAACTTGACGAAATCATTATCTATCATAACGTCCAGTAATGAATATCTCATTAAATTAATTTTTGTTGCATGTGAAGAAAAAAGTTCTTCTGTCTATTTTATAATTTTTTATTAATATAATTTCTTAACTACATTTCTTTTCGAGGCAATCATGATAATTACGCTTATATCGTATTACCTCGATAACTTTGTAATGGAAAAATAATGCTCAGTCATGGTGATTAAACTTTGGTGTATATACTTTAAACTTTGATCTAATCAAGGCGAAAATGAGCTCGAAAACGTCGACTCCGTCGAACTTTGTTCCCATCAATGATAGTGATTTTCTAAACTTTTAATATTGACATCTGCAAACATTTGCATGTTTTTCTCACATGATGAATCAAACATTTGTTGTCCGGTAAATGTATATATAACGTATAATTGCGTGATAAATGCGCGTGCGCTAAACCATGCCTATTTGCAGGTACGTGTTATATTTGCACCTTTAAGGCGAAGCGATGTCTCGTATGTATTATACAATGCAGACAGAAATTTTACAGAAATTTTATTTAAAAAATTCAATATTTATATTTATTAATTGTGTTTATAAAAAGTAATTTTGTATCCCATAATATTATACGATATAAAGCTGATAAGAATATACTTCTACTACTGAAACGAAGAAAATAAATAATAAATTAAATTCGTATGTATAAAATCATGAATATAATATAATTATATTTAATTATATATTTATATAATTAAATATATAGATCTGTTTCTTATTGCTGCACTTTCTGAACTGGTACAAGCAGTGCAATAAATTGAAATGAAACAAATATATCGATGTCGATTTCATTATCATTTCTGACTGAGTATAATACAAAAAATTTTCATTATATTTATAAAAACGTATTATAATATTTGTTCATTTCATTTTCTTTATTTGATTAATTAAGATTTATAAGAAGACATATATATTTTGTAAAAAAAGGCATGCATTACTTCTTAATATTAAATAAATTAAAAAACAATCAAATGTTTTCATTGTTTATGTAACAATGTATAGTGAGCGAAATATTTATAAAAATTAAAGGATTGAAGGTCGCTGCCTTTAGTGGCACGGCGGTGTTCATTATTCTACCCCTTTGTGAGTTTGCCGACACGCTCACGTCATGTCACGTCACCTCTCTATCGCGTTCCCTGTCCTACCATCTTGCTGTGCGTTTGCGCGCAAACTGCTCAGACAAGTGGCATTCGTTCGCAGGACCCAGAGCAGTAACCAACCCAACTGTAGCAAGACCATGTCGAGCTTGGAACGCGATCAGCTGGGCCAACGAGGAAGTGGCGACGCGATGTGCGCCGGCCTTCTGTGTGGCCTCGATCACATTAGAGATCCGCACTTGAACAAGGTACGCTGTGTGTATCATATAACAAAATGCGTTGCACAATTGATAGTCGCGATAGTCGCAATAGTGCGGAAGATAATCTCCACTCATAGATAGACTCGAGTACGCGTTAACGTTATCTGCATAACTTAGGCTGACTCAGCGCGAAAAGCAATTAGATGAAAAAAACGATGACGAAACGTTATGGAAGAAAAAATCGAATTTGAAGACGTTTATATTTAGAACGTTCTTCCGACACTCGCTATTTGTATTAACAACACATATTTCCATGTTGAGCAGCGAAGTATCGTAGTCACTCGTAGACCTTTTCGTAAGGTAGCACGTAAGATAGAACTTACACGTGATTCTGAAATAAAATTACTGGAACATGAAGATTCTGAAAAAAAAAAACGCTTTCACCAAATGCTTGAATCTGATTTAATGAAACGTTCAACCGTATGATGCCCGAAATCTTCTCGTTATTCTAAAAATAGAAGAAGAGTTTATTGTTAGTCAATTTTGAAGCTAATTTTGAACTAATTTCTGTAAGATGGTCAGCTTAAAAATTGAAATAAATATTAGTACGATTTATTACAAAATTATAACTGTTAATTATAACTGTTAATTACAATTCGCAAATTGATGAGCTGATAATCTATACTGACTAAAAGTTCGCGAACGTTTCGCAAAGCGAAATCTGAAACTTTGCTGCGTGCAACAATTGCGTACGGCAAATTGGATTGCAACTCGACAGCAGAATGTGAGACTGCAGGATGACTTCGCGAAACTCTTCACGGTAATTGCCCTCTACGCTTGCGCAATCCCGAAATTCGATATAGTTAAGCTCTCATTCATAGATTGAGACGGCCCTGGAGTTTCACAACCTTATTTTCAAATTCCTTTAAAGTTAAGATCTTCGTTGTAATTTATTGTAATCGTATTGTAATTTAGATTATTTTGACAGCTAAAAAAATTAGAATCTTTTTTCGGTTCTTTTCAACACAGTTAAGTCTTTCCTTTTGATTTACCTTAATGCGAAAATTTATCTACCTTCTATTTAAAAAAATTTCTATTCAGCAACTTCGAAAGCATTTTTATTAATCATATCTTTCAGGTCGTAAAAAACTACATTTTTGCAAAATATATTTATTATAAATGATCTTACTTATATTTTTTAAATATTGAAAAATTTGCTTTTTTGAAAAGGAGGAATTATTGATCTTCTTGGATTACATTTATTCGTTATAAAATTTGAAAAATTTTGAAAATTATAAATAGCGATTTTATATTATTCATAATAAGGAACAAGATTCTGTTGATTGAAGAAAATAAGCGCTAAAAAATTAAAAAAATAAAACTTTACCCTCTTTTTATTTCTGTAAATCATCTTTAGAATTGTATCTGCGAAATTATTCGCGAACGTTTTGCGATATGATCCTTTTTTTTAAGCAACGGGTATACGTAATACTTGCGGTAGGTCATGGAGTCACTTTATATTCAAGAATTCAAGAATAGGGCTGCCTATCGATCCATGCATAAGCCGAAGGGTCGCCGTCACGGGAGTCAAGAACCCCAGCAACCGTTTCCACGGTCGGTTGTTTGTCATGGGATACGAAAATTCCGAGGGAAAAGTTCGGAGTGTACCGAGATAAAATGGAGACCGATTGGTGGAATCTCGTTCCGGATCAGAATCGGACTACGCGCATCCCTGAAGCTCTGCTCGCTGCGGATGGAAGGGTACTCGTTCATGTTTGCGCTTCATTTCGCGATCTCACGTTTGGACTAAAGGCTTGGATTTTCTCTTTTGCATGTTTCGCCCAAATTTCAACTTTCTTTTTTTACCGCGATAATTACACTGTCATCTTAACTTTCCCTTTTAGTTGCTTAATTCTCGAAAAATATATTTATATGTATATGTAAAATATTGAAGTGAAATTCACACTTATTGTTCATTGAGATGAAATGAGAGCTTTAATTTCAATAGTTATAATTTCGATTAATTTTAACGAGTCCAGTTTCCCTTTTCCTTATCTTCTACTAATTTTTTATCTATGACAATACGATTAAAAATGCTTTCGAGGTTGCTGAATGTAGAGAATCTTGCATTAAATGCTTTAATTAATACGAATAATATATCATATTGAAAAATGAATTTTATTAATAATATTATTGCGATAAAAAGAATAGAGAATTAAAAGTGCAATAGTATAATTATCGCAAGTTAAGCACTATGAAGAAAATGGATGAAAAAATTTTACAAAATTGGTATACACGAATATGAATGTAATTTGAAAACAAGTAATTAGCTTTATTTTGCAATTATGAAATTTATAAAAAATTTCTACAGAAAATTTTGTCAATATTATCAACTTATTCATATAAAGTAATATATATGCTACAAAAATTATACTCCATTAAATGAACAAAACTGCGATATTCTGTAATATTAAATAAGATAAAAATTTTTAGTGCTTCATGTAAATTAAAGAAACTTTAATTCGTAAAAATACATTTATTATAAATGTTTTATATTTTTTAAATAATAAAAAGTTCTTTTTAAGAAGAAGAAATTATTGATCTTCTTAGACTAATTTAATTACTCATAAAATTTAAAAAGTCTTTTAAATTATAAATAGCAATTTTATATTAATAAATTTATATTCTAAATTAAAAGTTAAATTTACTAACATTTTATTTCTTTCATATCTAATTGTAAATAATAAAAGATCATTAGAAACAGTGTAGTGAAGAATGTTTAAATATATAGAATACTCATTAAAGTTTTACTCATTGTCAGATAAAAACTTTCGATGAAGTTAGCTCTAGAGTGTCCATCAAAAGTCAGAGACGAGTTCACTTAATGGAAAAGTACTCTTCACGAGCGCTGACCTTTCTATTGAATTAAATTCAGTTACAATTCGCTCTGATGTGACCAACGTGATCAACGTTGAAAAAAAAAAACATCACCTTTTAAAAGTTAATACAATTGTTATAAGAAATTTTACAACAGAAATTGATCAAACAATACAATTAAAGAAACGTCATATCATCTTATATTTCGATAAATTATTAAATGCTTTCGTGTAAAACTGCGTTGTCTTATTATTGTCTTATATATGAGAATCATTTTATATAAGAGTGACATAATTCTTACGATAGACACATTATCACGCAAAAATTTACATATAACAACAACATGATACCACAATGCCTTGTTATCGGAAACCAGCGTATGGAAACATTGGTCGCACGATAATCACATATCTATTTTCAACAAGAAAAATTTCCGGTATGCAAAAATGAATTATATGCGGTTTATTTTATATGTATACTTTATATAAAAAGATTACAATTTTTAATAAAAATTTTATATATACAGAATGTATCATCAGTAAATCTAATTGTCAAAGGTAGTATAAAAGAAGGGCAACGAGCCAATGACGCACTTTCCTCTTTCGGTGTAATACGCTGTGAGTCATTTTTATCAAGAATTAACAAATTTGTTAATTCTTGATAAAAATGACTCACAGCGTATTACACCGAAAGAGGAAAGAATTATTTGTTAATTTTAAGAATATTGTAAGATTATGTATTAATTTTCAATTTAGAACGACATTTATATTATTGTATGATGGCATTGAAAATGACTCAATTGGAGTTGAAACGTTTGTTTCATTTTATTGTATTTTAAATGTTTTTGTATTAAGTTTTCTTAGCTGAATTATAATTTTTTATTTGCGTCATTGGCTCGTTGCCCTTCTTTTATACTACCTTTGCTTATTACTACAGAGCCTTTTATATTACTTTTAAATCTAATTGTATTTTAATTTTTAATACTCAAAATTAACTTCCCTAAAAAAATCACACATCTATTTTAGATCTCTTAAAAAAGAGATGAATTAAAAAGAAATCGAATATCGTTTATTATTTAATAACACTTTTAAACATATGAAAGAGAATGAAAGAATGTAAAGTGATTAAGAAATATTATAGATAGTTTGATCATTAATCAGATCAGATCAGGTCTTGTTTCTCCCTTTATGGGTATAATAGTCAAGAATTCGCTACTGCACTTTTCCGGTATTTGAAGGTGAAATGAAATCATATCGCAAAATAATGCAGTTCATTAACCGCAGTCGAGATAAGTCAGTGAGATAATAAATTATACTGCTCTTTCAGTGTTGACGTTCCATTAATATAAAGGCATCTATTACATTATCGTTCTTCATCATTTCTTATAATTTATTACATCCATTAATTTTGCAACTAATCTTGTTTGTCGATATTAATTAGTAGAAAATATTGAAAAGGTCGAGAATAAAAGAATTATAATAGTATTTCTTTTTACTTTTAATTTTACTCATATCCAGTATTCAGTCCTTTCATCAATTTATAAAATTGTAACAAATGTTTATAATCGTAAATATTATAATCATTATTGTAACAATAGAGTTGACACAGACAGTATCTATTTAAATTTCTATTAATGATGAGTTTACATTTAAAGGACGAGTAAGAGAAACGCAGAAATTTGTTAAATTTTAATGGTAGAATAATTCTATAAAGCGTTTATTATATAGGTAAATTGACAATATTCCGTTTAAGTCAAGCGTTAGTTCAATAAAATACCTGGCACAGTCTAACGTTCGTTTCAAAAAAGCATTGGCAGTGTCTCTGCAAACCGTAACTACATCATATGCCAACAATATATTAGGTGTTGGAATTAATTCGTAGCGTTTTTTAATGAAAGAATGTTATTTATTTCACATGAGCATTAAAAAATACATTAATGAAAGTACTTCCCATCACTTGTAAAACGCTACGAATTAATTCCAACACCTAATATTATGTTATAATTTAATCAAATATAAAAGGTGTCCTATTTGTAATATTATTTCTGAAAATACACTGTTAAAATATTTTAGATTAAACTTACTCTATTTCGAGGAAATGAATTAAACATTAAAAGCGCCTCTGAAAGCGCCTCTACAAAGTACTGTTGATTTGACGTCGATCAAACGATGCAATCGAATCTTTTCTTAATCGCTCTTATAAGCTCGTTTTTTGTCTAATCATCCATGTAAGATTCAATTAGACACAACGTGTCGTCAAGGGCATATTATATGTCATTATCCTTAAAAGTGAATGTGGATCACGGAAAATGAGTCTTGAGGGTAAATTCTGATATACACACACACACACACTACATAATATATTTGAATCACGATCGCTAGATGTAACGTTTGTGCAATATTAGCATTTGTAAAAATCGAAATGGGACGACGATCAGCTGATCACCTTTCACCCACGCATACTAATGACTGCTGTTAATACTGTTAACAGTTATAGATATTATCATTTCTTTTGATTGAAGGTCAGAGTCTAGTCTGGTGCTCTGATTCTGACTCATCAATTAATTTTTTCCTGTTTGCCAATGTCGCAAGAAAAGGAATGATAGCGATATACGTGCAACGTTCGATGTTTTCCGTAGAAATAGTCCGAATAATAAAGACAATTGAATTGAAATACACACACACACACAAAATAGGATTATAAATTTATATTTGCATTTTTTCTTTTCCATATTTTTCAATTTTTAAGAGAGACAGAGATGTTCAGTGGATTTTTTAAAATTTCGTTTAAGTGCTGTATTTAATGGTGTGTTATTATCACGTTTCAGGGTATGGCGTTCAGTATTGAAGAAAGGCAGATACTGGGTATACATGGTCTTCTACCGGCAGCCGTAAAAACTCAAGAAGAACAGTTGGAGCTTTGTCGTCTTAATCTGGAACGCTACACGGATGATCTCTCAAAATACATATATCTCATAGGCCTACTGGTACATGAACACGACAGTTATCGCTGTCACTTGATCGGAGACGTTATATTAATGGTCTCCCCGTTCCCGCTTGATCAGGCCTGCTTTTCTCATATGCTTTGATTCTCACATAGGGTCTTATTCCTTAGGATAGAAACGAGAAACTCTTCTATCGTTTGTTGGCAGAAGATGTAGGTAAAATAATGCCATTGGTATATACGCCGACCGTGGGTTTGGCATGTCAGAAATTCGGTCTGATTTATCGTAGGCCGCGAGGCCTCTTCATAAGCATTCACGATAGAGGCCATGTCTATGACGTTTTAAAAAACTGGCCCGAACACGACGTACGAGCAATTGTTGTCACGGACGGCGAGAGAATATTGGGATTGGGTGACCTAGGTGCTCACGGCATGGGTATTTCCATAGGTAAATTGTCATTGTACACCGCATTAGCTGGTATTAAACCCCACCAGTGTTTGCCTATCACTTTGGACGTCGGCACTAATACCCAGGTATGGAAAATACATCACATCTACGGTAAATGTCTTCATTGGTTCCCTCATTATACTGTCAAACACAAAAAATAATATATTTCTTCGTTAATATTTCGCATTAATTTCTTCTTTAATCTTAAATCTATACATTTGATTCTTATATTCCTTTTGCAGTCTTTGTTGGATGATCCCCTGTATATCGGTCACAGACACAAACGTGTCGTCGGGAAACAGTACGACGAATTCGTGGAAGAGTTCATGAAGGCTATCGTGAAACGATATGGTCCGAATACGTTAATTCAATTCGAAGACTTTGGAAATGTTAATGCGTTCAAATTACTTCAAAAATATCACAACGACTACTGCACCTTTAATGATGATATTCAGGGCACTGCCTCTGTCGCTGTTGCCGGGTTACTGGCATCACTTCGTGTTACGCAGACAAAGCTCTCAGATAATACGATCGTGTTTCAGGGTGCCGGAGAGGTTGCTATCAAAATATTCAGTTTATCTTGATGAAAAAAAAATTAAATTAAATTAAACTAAATTTTTTTATAATTTTTATACGAATTAGAACACTTTTCAGAAAAATTGAGAAAGTTTACATATCTTTTCTTAGAATTCTTCATATAAATTCTGAAATATTCTAAAATTTCTGTAATTTCGTTTTGTAATTTCTCTCTCTGATGAAATCTTATAAAATCTGAAAAAATAGAATAAGAAATCTTAGAATATTTCAGAATTTTATATGTACGAAAAATTTTGAAGTGTTCGAATTTGTATTTAAAAAATTTTTTAAAGAGTTATAAAATTATTTAGAAAGTCTAACAAATTCTTTGAAAAATTCTTACTAGAGAAAAATTTTTACTAGAGAATATGTTAACTGTCGACAAAAACACAATGCGTGTTTTAAGGGCCTATTCTGTAATTCTTAACGACTGATATTATTACATTGTCATTGCACAGGTTTTGTATATAGTAAAAAAGCTGCGTAATATAATAATATAACAATATATAATCATAATCGTTAAGAGATACAGAATAGGTCCCTTAGTCGCGTTATAGATTATATATTCGAAGAGTAGAATACGCTTTCATGAATTATGAATCACTTACAGGCGTCATTAGGTATCGCGGCATTGTGCGTGATGACAATGCAAAAAGAAGGAGTAACTAAGGAAGAAGCTAAGAGCAAAATTTGGATGGTAGACTCGAAAGGATTGATAGTGAAAGATCGTCCAAAGGGCGGACTGACAGAGCATAAATTGCACTTTGCTCGTGACGATAAGCCCATCGATGCTCTGTTGGATGTTATTAAGATTGCCAAACCTTCGGTTATTATTGGCGCAGCTGCTATCAGAGGTGCCTTCACGACAGAAATATTGACGGAAATGGGGCGTAACAATGAGAGACCCATTATTTTCGCTCTGAGCAATCCAACGAGCAAAGCAGAGTGCACCGCGGAAGAAGCTTATATTGCTACAGAGGTAAGAAGTTGACTTGTGAGAACAATTCTCTACATTTATTGACAAATAAATTTTTAATATGAAATTTTGCTGACGAAATTTTCCTGAATAATTTTAATCAACCATTGTTTAAATTGCGCAGGGAAGATGCTTATTCGCGAGTGGCTCGCCTTTTCCACCAGTCACGTATAACAATAAAACTTATTATCCTGGCCAGGGTAATAATAGTTACATATTCCCTGGAATCGCGTTGGCCGCAATATGCGCCGGTATGCGCATCATTCCCGAGGAGACTTTCCTTATTGCCGCAACGGCTCTCTCCGATTTAGTAACGCAAGCCGATTTGGACAGCGGCAATCTTTACCCACCATTGGCCGATATACAGAAATGTTCGTTGAATATAGCATGTACAGTCATGAAATATGCCTATAAAAAATGTGAGTATAAATACTATAAATATTCCAAATGTGTTAGAGAAGATAGAAGACACACAAAGCTTCTCGTATATTCTGCTACATAATATAAATTATTCATACATTTTTTTTTATATGCAGGTATAGCAACTGTCTATCCGGAGCCTTCAGATTACGAGAGTTTTATCAAGGCACAATTATACGATCCAAACTATAAATCGGCAATACCTCCAATTTATTCATGGCCAATATTGTAATACTTTTATTAATTTGACGTTTTTGATTTTATACACGATTGTTTTGGATTTATGAAAGAATAATATACATGTTTGAGGGAATTCTTCGGGAAATGAATTTTCCTCGCTTTTTTAAAGTCTGTTGATCGGGCTTATTTTATTTCTAGCACTGTATGTGCAAACGTGACCAATATGCAATATTTAGTTAGTAAAATTCATAGGAATGAATTTGTGTTTAATATGAAGGAATTTTTGCAAATAAAGTACAAGCTCGATGTAAGAATTGATTTGCTGGTTAAACAAATAAATATCGATGCTAGTTTGAAAGAAATGTATTTATTGCTACTAGAAATATCATTTTTGTTTTCTGCAGAACATCCTAGATATCCCCGATCGCGTTTGACGAGCACTATAATATTGTTCATTTCGTAGACTTAGTATAACTAAGATCAAACAAAACTTATACGGATGACAGTTGTGCAAAAGAAAAGTCTGTGACAAAAAAAGTGAAGATTGCTTCTTCATGTTCGATCATTTTTCGCAATATTAAATATACGTCATTAATTTAATTTAAATCTTTACAAGACAATAATCGACAAAAAAATATTACTTAATTAGGCCAAGAATTTACAAGGCGATGCTAAGTCAGCACGTACATCGCGAAAAAGTTTGCAAATTCTTTTCCCGAATTCAATGTGTAGTCCATTATACAAAATGGCATAAGCTATATAAACATAGCACAATACCACCAAACCAATAAGCATCCGGCATATTGATGAAAGACGCCATATTGATTTACATAAGAGTTATAGGATATTTATTAGTTCAGCGGCCTTATGCTATGCTTATTCAATTTAAGTCTTGTTGTATGATGGACTTAGAAATGAATAAAAGAATTGTTTGAGAGAATATTTTCTAAGATAATTCTGTATTCTTACATTTCAAGATGTATATAATTCACAACGATGAATTGTGGTGATTGTTATTCACACATTTCCTCTCTCGCTCGCGTTCGATCGCTTTCTCTCAATTTCTGTCAACTCTATTGACGTGTATGAGTAAAACTATTATCCATTTTATTTTTTCACTAGTCCGATACTTACTGTCAGAACATTCGTGATCATCAATTCAAAACAGATTATGAACTGTTGACCCCGAAAGTTATCTTTATTCCAAATTCATTTATATCGTATAGTAATATTGTAATAAATTTAAGGGACAAAAAATGTACAGAAGAGCATTTAAAAAATTGTTTACAATTGTGGGACTCTGTTACGCTACACTGAGCAGACACACTGGCCTTTGCGTGCCAGTAACAGGGACCTTGTCGCTTGTCTCATGATAGACAATGCGATAAAAACAAACGGACCACCCGCAGCTTATCGGGCAACGGGTAGTAGTCTGATCGCTCATCATTAGATATAATTGAATTAGTCCAAGTTCCACGGCACCACCGCACTACTGCTTTCTCTACATATAGTTCCTATATATAATTCCAAATTAAATCAGTGCTGAGTGCAGATGAAATGAGGAATTCCAATGATCAATTTATACACACATACACGCACTATTTTTCAAAATCAATGTTCGCATCATCACATCATCGGATCTCGTAGTTACGATAGACATGTTTTCATAAAAATTAATGATATTAGAACGAAGACATAGGGCAGTAGTGTCGTTGAAAGTGGAGTGTCTGTCCAGCACGGAGATCGGTCCCTTTCCTAGCTTCATCGAGAGAGTGAATGTGATCGTTCGTGAGATTGTTGAGAATCACCAGCTGCTCGCGGGTCAGGCAATCTCTGGGATGCTGGTAAAGCATCGAAGAACGAATGAGTCAACGCATCCTTCAGAGTAATACGTTGCGAAGGTTCATACTCCAACATTCGTTGAACCAGATCGAACAGCTGACGATGTTCTTCATCATCAGACAGCATATAACGCTATACAGGCATAAAAATATATATTAGTTTATGAATAACCAACAATTACATTATATATCGAAAATTATTTTATTATTAATTAAACAAATTATAATCTACATTTAAAATTTTTATTCTTTAGTCTCTATTTGAATCTTTGTTTTTAATTCATAATTTGATATAGGAATTTAATTAAAGTCAAAATACTAACATATAATGGCTTGCAATTATCTCGTACGTATCTACCGGCCGAACTCTTGTCATCCCAATCCAGTTTACCATGGTAGAAGTACTTGGTCTTAGTTTTGCGAGCCATGCGATGTGGTATCGTGCCAAGTATACGTTCCATCATCGCCAGGTGCTCGCGATTATCATGTGTTTGGAATAACGTGATGCCCAGGTATAACTCGAACAAGATGCAACCGATGGACCAAACATCGCAAGGTTGAGACCAACCCAATTCTACATACAGAAAAATATAAGATTAATGATAACGATAGTGATACAAAGGTATGTGCGATCAAAAGAATATTTTAAGAGGAGCACTCACCTAAAATCACTTCAGGTGCTCTATAATGTCTTGTGCTAACGATTGTACTATGATGTTCATGATCGAAAGTAGCGCTACCAAAGTCGATAAGTTTGATATCGGTTCGCTTCACACGTCTCATGTCTCTCCGCTTAAAAAGAAAAAGCTTTTTTTGAAACACTTTAGAATGGAAGCTTATTCTACATGTCAAATCGAGGTTCGATAAATCGATAATAGAAAATATTAACAATAGCACACCTTTTTATTGTTATATGTGCTATCGTATTCCGAATCTACGAATAAGATGTTCTCCGGTTTAAGATCCGTGTGCGTGAGCTTGTTATCATGTAAAAACTTAACAGCGTAACAAAGTTGATAGCCCATGTGCCTAACATGTTCCAACGGATACGGCTGGTAACTGTTATCCCTCTGTAAAAATAACTTTGTCAATATCTTAGACCTGATAGCATCAGAGTCCAATAGTAAATTTGGTTTCAGTAGTGCGTACTATATCTTAAAGACTATCATATAAATTGATGTAAAAGCATGTGCATTGTATATAAGCGGATTGGACCGCGAGATGTTCAATACAATTACACTATGTGTTCGATAAAATCTATATTAAGCATTTCATCAATCAAGGCATTTATATTATGTTTTTGTATGTAGATAGACTAATATACATTTGGCTTCTACTGCGTACTAATGCATCTAATTCGTCATAAGGTATGCTTCAATATTTACCAGGAAGTCAAAAACACTCAGACCGAGCATTTCGAAAGCGATACACATGTGTCCATGATAATTGAACCAATCGAGCATCTTTACGCATAGACTGAAATGAAATAATCGAGTGAATTATCACCATTTTATAAACCTTATATATTAAATTAAAACAAAATATTCTTGCTTACAGAGTAGCTTTACGTCGCAAAACTACTTCAAGATTAAAGAATAAATAAAACAATTAGATACTAACTGCTGGCCTTCTGGGTCCTTATTAGCGATCTTTTCAAGAGCATTTATTTCCAACTTTGCTGCTTCCCTGTATTTTTCCACGTTTTTAATAATCTTCAGAGCCATCACATGATCCCTAGAATGTAACATCGATCATGATATCTGATATTAAAACTGTCTCCCGCCAGCTCAAATCCTGTATCCTATGAGGATGAAGCTGCACGTGGAGAATACTTTTCACGCGGACGTTTGCCGTAACTTCGTATTCCGCTAAAGAGATCTAATTCGTGGCCGTCGCAAAACGCGACGCCCGGCTCGTAAAACAAAGTGCAAGGCCATCCTATTATTGCAACTACTCGCGTGTTATTTTGTGACAGTGCCGGATGGCTATTTCTGCCTGTGGTACATCGCGCAACGCGCGCATTTAGGATTTTCCTCGGCGCGCGAATTGATGACGCGCGAAGAACCGAGGCGAAAAGAGGTAAATAAAAATAAATAAGTATAGAGAGAGAGAGAGAGAGAGAGAGAGATATGAGTAGACAGTGCGAAACGCGAAGTTATGTTACCTATGTACTTATGTGAACTGGAACTTACATTTGCAAGTCCTTAACCTTGACAACTTTTCCAAAAGTACCCTCTCCTAGGGTGGCCAGTACTTTATCTGTAATGTAAAAATGAAGGTGAATACCCAGCAAATATGAGCCTCGCGGCCCACGGAAGGAGGGAGTGCTCGCCTGCGTTCACTAACTGGACGAAGCACCCTTTCGTTCATGACAAAAAAGCCTTTGAGTGCCCCTTGTCCATCGCCCCCTTACACAAAGAAGAAGAAAGGCTACTCTCTTGAGGAGAGAGTTGTTGCGTTTGAAAAAGAAAGAAAAGAAGAAAAATAAGACCCTAAAGGAACACGGGCGAGACTCTTCCATGTGGGCGTTCGGCCGATCGTGCGTTATCGTACACGCGCGGTTCATAGTGAACGGGATAACGAATAAACATGGAACGGTATCGTATAGTTTAAATGATATCGATCGAAAATATTGCTGCTCTCCTAAAGGTCCTAAAACGGGATAAAAGCAACGTAACTCTATTTGAACGGGCGCACGGGACGTGGCATTTACTGTCGACCATATGGGAGAATCCTTTTATCGTTTCCCATCCTTTATTCTTTATACAGCGAGTAGGCAAGGAGTTCAGTGATATATAAGAGATACAAAAACGGCGAAAGTAAATGCCAGTTGTCCTCGCACGCGTGCACGAGTATCAAGAGCGAGGAACTCGCCGTCCCGAGGAGGACGACATATCGAGAAGATAGCGCAAATAAGAAGCCCTTCGATCTTTCTCATTTGTCTCTACTCCCTTCCTCCAAGCTCTCTGCCTCCACCAAATCACCCTCGCGTTTGAAGGGATCCTCGATTCAGCGGGGAATCAAAAAGCAAAATCTCTTTTGCGCCGGCTTCCCGATAATCATCACCGTCGTCGTCGAGCCGACGGGTTTCCTATGTGCTGTCGAAACACGTGGTGAATAAATGTACTATATATATGCTATTACTTATCTTTCTGAAATAAATGAATAATTGTATATAAACAGACAGACAGAGAGAAACTATATCTTTTTTTCTGCTCTTTCGCGTATCCCGAGTTAGCGCGCGACGAAAAGATCGACAGGGAGAATTTTCGATCTAGACAGAGAACCGCGCCAATGTGTGTACGCACAAATGTGTGTACGAATAAGTGGTATCATAATATATATATATAAATGTATACAACATATCTCTATATATGCGCGTATGTGTATGCTGAACGGCGACGTTCAGCGAGAACATTGACACATAACGTGATTAACGCGTGAATTGTTACTCTTGTATTGTAGTGTAAATATTGTTTCATATATAATACCTATAATTCAGGCGAGGAGAAGTGAAAAAGAGAGGAAAAAAAGAAACGAAAGAAAGAGAAAGAGACAAGAGACAAAGAGAAAGAGAAAGAGAAAGAGAAAGAGAGAGAGAGAGAGAGAGAAAAAAGAGAAAGAGATATAAAGTATGGGTAGATACCGTAGATAACCGATCAGTTAATCGACCTGAGGCTTGCTTAAATCTACTACAATGAGTGTATTCACATGATCACGAACATCTATTGGCCAGGAGATCGCCGGATTGGTATACAAGGTGGCCGTCTTCGTCGTCCTCGACGGAGGGCGGTCGTGGGCTCTATTTGGGCCGGTGTATCGATATCGATGCGTGCCAAGAGTTGGACCCAATTGCAGGCCGCGGACCCGCCGTGTTCGGTATTCCGTGTTCGCGTCGGTCCGATTCAGTAACAGGTCGCGCCAGACGTAGATGCCACATATCCAGAGTTGAGGCGCCGTTGGGGCGGTCGATGGGTCGTCAGGTCACATCCGCCGTATCCACGTGGCCATCAGATGCACGCCAGGTCGAGCGGTCGCCGATCATCAACCGATCGCCATACACCGTGCCATCCACCATCGTTGCCACCACCACCGCGAG